TTTTTATTATTATTTATTTTTACACCTTCTCAAAAGGTTCTTAACAGGATACACCAAAAAATGAGAGAGTAGGATTGATATGTAGTAGTCATGAACAGTTTTTCTAACAGCAGCACTCATCCCCTGCATTCCCCAATACTCTGTGCTATTAAACTTAAATGATCTGGAAAAGGGGGCAAAAATGCTGCTGCCAACATAATATTATTCAAAGTAGTTTGAAAGAACAGAGAGTGAAGAGAGACATCACCATAGTGAATGTGTAGTAAATCTACAGATGAAATTCACTACAAATAGATGAAAAGTAACATGAAAAAAATAGAAATAACTCTAACCATACACAGGACAAGAAGTGGCTGTTAAGTCATTGTTACAAACCTCTTGGCTAGGAAGTAAAATACCTTGGCATTATTTTCGATAGTCCTCTGAAAATATCAACTCCGTGCTCAGAAGCCATGAAAATGAAGAGAGCTTTAGGACTCATTAGGGAAGGCATGGAAAACAGATCAAAATACAACTCTGTCATACCACTTCATATTTACAACTTAGGTAGAGTTTGGTCACCCCATCTCTGAAGAGACAAATAGAGAAGAGTAATGAAGATTATCAGAAGTGCGAAATGGCTAAATGCAGCAGCAGTCATACAGGGAAAAAGTAAGGCACAGACATACGAGGCCTAGAGAACTGTGATAAAGGCAGGAATGTAAAAAAAGATACAGATCATCAAACAATGACATCAAGAAGGAGGCTTAAAACAGAAACAAGCACTTTCTCACAGTGACTAATTAAATGGGAGAGCAAAAGCATTAATAGATTTTTTTTTGTTTTAATAATTCATTGCATGCTTCTTAAGTAAAATCCAATCACTACAAGAGTTCCTGGTCCAGCTGCAGTTTCTAGCTTAGGACATCCTTGCACAGATTCTGGCAAGTAGCAAGGAGATCTTGCTGAGAAGAGAAAATATCACTGCAGTCTTGTTACATCTCTTGCTCTAAGTACTCATTACTACCACTTCTGGAGACAATACCGGGCTCAGTAGATCTCTGCTTTGCCACGTGGCAATTCTGATGTCACATATATTAAAACTAGTCAGTTTGTGGCAGATGAATCTGAACTGTTCCACACTAATACACTAGCTATGTAGCAGCATGGATATCAGATCATTAATTTGGAGGAACAGAGACACAAAACAGACCATTCAAGAGTTGTGTGTTTCTGGGAGGCAGGGATGCTCACCATCTGAGCCCTACAGCCCCAGAGCCATCCCACATCCCATATCACAAGAACAGAATTACGACAAGGCAAATAATCTTTTTCACACATCAGTATGGATGCCATGCAAAATTCCAATTCATCATTAAAGCCGAATGATTCCTAAGGCCCAGTAGGACAAAAGTCTCTCTGAAAGCCAAAGCTGGAGTCCTTCTTAGTCCAGCATCATTTGTCCAGGATGACTATCATAGATGCCTGGTTCAGTGACACAGATGTTCAGCTTTTGTGGTTTACAATATGTAAAGTCACTTTTGCACAGCACAAGGAAGACCAGCAGAAGCTATACAGGGGTTGAAGTAGCTCATGTATGAGCTCAGCTGGCACCAAGTGTGTTCTGAAGCCCTTGTCCTGTGCCACTCCCTCAGGTAAGTGAATGCAACAGCTCCCCTCTTCACGCATACCCCTTTGAGAATCTGTGATCAGACTGATGTGAGCAAAGAATTTCTCAGAATTACTAGCAGATCATCCCTGTTAACCATCCTTCTATTCACTTGGAGTCTTTCTTACTTCAGCGTGCACAGAAGGTCTAAAAATCGCTGAGACACTAACTTCTGCATTGAAATGCAAAAGATAGCAATTTTTCCTCAGTGATTGCCATTCATCTTAAGTTGTTTGGAAAAGGGATGTACCCACGTAGAGCACAGTTTACACACATGAAAAAAGAAAACAGGCCATAAGTGTTTAAACAAAAGCTCATGCACAGATACCAAAACACCCATTTCATAATGTCTATCTGTATGAACTGGCTTGCATTTAAAGACCGAATTTCTTAATAAAGCTTGAGAATTTTTCTGCTTAGTTCATCTAGGAACACTTCCTGTTTTGGACATCCTTTACATGTCTCAACCTCTCACTGACAGATTAAAGAAAGCAAGCAAAATAAAAATGCTGTTATTTGAACAAGAGCGCCACATAGCGTTACAAACTGTGATGGAAAACAAAAGGCAGGCAATCTCTCTCTAGCCTTCCCAAACCCGGGTAAAGGAAAAACATGGGCATTATACTGAATATGAAGTCTCCCCATCTTGTGATTTTTGACAAAACAGGAAACAGCGTTCAGTGTAGGCAGGAGAAACAAAGCACACTTTTTCTTAGTTCATTCTGCAGCCTGCATGTCAGCTAGCAAAAAAATTATTTCAAGTAAAGCAAAGTAGCAGTGAATCCATTGCATTTGAGCTATTTGCATCAGTTAGTTTTCATTCAAAACATGTGCAAGAAATATGATTTGTAGTTAAGTCAAGAGCAGATGACCAGTATTTGGAGGCTGCACCTAACAACTCAAACAAACCAGTAAACTACTTGTTGTGAGACCGATCACAAGTTTCTACTTGACTGGGAGTGTTTGCCTGTCTAGAACCCAAACGGAAATATGTTAGTGTTGATTTGTCATCACAAGTTTAATCCCAGAGTAAAAGTGAACACTGAAACCTTCTCAATCTCTTCTTGTGAAGAAGTTTTCTTGACTGCAGTGGGACTCCTTTATGAAGCAAAGCAATGAGAATTTTCTTCTATACAATATTTTATCATTCAAAAACAAAAAAAATATACAGCAGCCACCAGTGCAGTGTCTCCAAAACCAAACTGCCTGTCACGTATTTTCCTGCTGATATGAAACACTTCCCTAGACGTCCTTCTTTTTTTCAAAGGAGCATACCAGAAATTTTGGAAGTCACTAGAATACAATGACACATTGCTTCCTCTTACTAGTCATGCAGGAAGAGAGCAGGGGGGGTGTGAACAGACATTACACAAAATCAGCAGGTCTTTCAATCAAATAAGTTAAAATACTGCACATAACGCCTCACATAAGAAACTATACAATACTGCTAGCACTGGGAAGGAACAAGTTATCCAGAGCAACTGACAATTTTGCCAACTTTAAAGCTATATTAGATGTGGAACAAGGAATTTTTTTCTTCTTGAGGAAAAGAAACTGCATTAGGGAATGACAACTATTTTAACATTCAATTTCAATAAGAGTTGCTCTAGGAAGCATTTAGATAGCTTTAATTTATAAGACAACATCTACAAAGAAAACAGACAATCCATTTTGCTGCTAGGCAAGACTATTCTTTTCTAGTTTCTAATTTACGGTGTTTTCATCTTACTAAAAGGGACAAAACCTTTTATTAAGACATTTACATTCATGTTTTAAAAACCTTGTATTCATTGTCCATGCAAATGAAACAACACACTGTACAGTTACTGTATTACAGAAAGAATCCAGCATTGACCTTAATTTAAAAAGCCATCAACTGTGCCTAGGTCGAGAGATTTTCTTCTATAAACTCACGGTATACAAAAGAGTCCCCCAAAACTTCAGTACTAGGTGGGCCTGTGATTCCCAGGCTCTTGAGATCAGAGTTCTCAAAAAACAAACAAACAAAAGAGACAAACCCACACAATTAGCTATATGCCTCTTACACTTCAGCTTGTGTTTTGCTATATTTCTTCATAGTCCCCCTTTCCTAATCTGCACATGACTTTTCCAGCTTCCAGGAAGAAGGGGGACGATTCAGCTTACACTCACTTGCAGTCTGCTGATGATGACAAAGGGATTAATCCCACTGCTTATGCCTAAACCAGTTACTTGAGTGGCCAAAAAGAATAACACTGACTACAGACACAAACTTGTAGCTTTCTGAATAGGACTCGTCCCTGCAACAGGCTGCACTGTGGATTTGGGGAGATAGAGGAAGAGACAGAAATAGACAGCTTTAGTAAATAGAAAGAACCACTACCTGACCCACACATACAAGTATTTTAGAGCTGGCCATCAGGTACTAGAGAGATGTTGCTGTAGTAGTCTACACCAAGCCAGGCGTCACTATTTACTATTCTATCCAATACTCCAACACCTTTATTTCCAGCTAGCTTAGTAGCCCTAGGCTGAAGATATATTTTGAAGCATTACAACTAAAAATCAATAATTCCCAGTATCAAAAATGAAGAACTATGGAAGCAAACTTTCAGAGCTGAAAAAAACCCAAATGCAAAGCACTCTACTGCATGGCATATTAAGGGTTCATTTCTGAGATCCCATTTCAAGAGTGTCCTTCCATATTTAGACAAATCATGAACCAAAAGTTAAACAATATAGTCTCTTTCCATTCCCTGTACCTAGTTCATATATTTAGATAAATCTTCTGACTAAAAAAAACACCCTCACATATTCTTATGAACAGTTCTATCTCCTAGATATGCCAGCTCAAAGGACCCTCACTTAATATTAAACAGAAGCTGCTTTTCCTGAAGTCAAATCAGCTCCTAATCTACAGTTCGTTCAATAGTGCAAATACAACTGCAACATTGAGCAAATATTTTCATTTCCATTTAAGCATTAAGTGGCATAAATCCATCTTATTCACACAGAAAAGTAATTCAGAAGCCACAAGCAACCAAAGACAGAAAAACACAGAAATCCACACACAGAGATAGCCAAAACTCAAACAGGAAGAACCTAAGTACAACTGGTTTTAATGCACTTACATTGCAAACGTTTTCTCTTAACGGTTTAGAAGCACTGAGGGGGATGGGACAGAACAGAATTTTAGGTGAGGCAAATGGTGGTTTTACTAAAGGAGTGAAGTTCCCAAACTCATATGCTTCTGTAAGTGTACTGCTCTTAGAGCATAGAGAATATTTTTTGCATTTAACTGCAAAGACAGACAACTGCATTTGGCTCATGCATCAACCTGCATTTGGAACAGTTTCTCACTCCTGGTTTTTTTAATGCACAAAACTGTCATGAGCAGGAAGTTGTCACATCACATGCCATTAGAACACAGTAAAGTGAACAGATATGATGGATTCCGGATCAATCTTTCCAGTTTTCCCAATAATATTCACAAAAGGTTTAGGGAACTGACTATCAAAACAGCATTTTCAGCACATCTTCTCAGTCTTCTTAACCTGTAAGCTTCAATCAAGTTAATTACTGCACTTAAAAAATAGAGACTTCATTCCTTATTCAGGCAAAGACTCTCATTAAAAGTCCCATCAGAAGGCAGCTTTTGCAGAACTGCAGCATCCTTCTATTGATTTGAATTCAAGTTCTCCCTAACACCAAGCATGATGCACATGTGCTATTACTCTTCAGTTACATCTTCAGGGAGGTGTTGACAGAAAAGTTGTAATAGAAAGCATTCCTTGCAGGTCTTTCAACTGCACAATATTTCATCACAAAGTTCTCAATGACTTATTTCATATGTGGTTGATTGCTGCCAGGAAGGCAATGAGGAATACTATATTTCCACAGACATAGATGGTTAACACAACCTGTTTGAACAGACGACCCTGGAAGAGAAAGGGAAGAAAAGCCATAGAAGTGTCAGTCTTTTTATTGGTTTGAACAAAGAATCATCCCATCTCACAGCAGTTATTTACAAAATTGTGACTTACCTCTGCTTCTGCAGATGTGAGTGACTGCAGTATCTGTACTCTGTCATCCTCTATCACTTCAACTGTTAGTGGGAAGGAAAAAAAAAGTTAAGTCTGCTCTTAAGAGGAAGGAGGTTTTTCATTTTTATACTACAGAAGTCTTGATCCTGTGACTAAGAAACTAAGTCTTACACAGCATCAAATTTGAAAAGCGCTTGGAAGTCTCATTTGACATTTCATGGCCTGTACCATCATGCTCACAACAGCACAAGTGAAAAAACTATTCTGGATCTGACCTACAAAAAGTAACTTCTGGACATTGAAGTGGGAAAACATTTTGTCTCTTTTGCTAGAGTGAATCATGAAAACACTGAGTTTTGAGCTGAACAAAATATTTGTCTGATCTAAAACCTTTTACTTTTCATTTTAAGATAAGTAGATTCCATTAAGAAGTATCTTCCGTTAGCCAACATGAAAACATTAATTGTTCAAATATTTCAGGTTCATTTCTCTACTTTGAGGAAGTAATTACTGCAAGTTAAATTTAAACTCACATCTTTTATAATCACTCCTTCATGTGCCACCTTAAACAGCCTTTTAACTAATCATGCTTCTTCAATCCTGCAGACATCTCGTCTCTGTCTTACATATAGCTTGTTCACATGTGCACAGTCATCTCCTCTCAGTGACACCAGCCAGTGAAAACTAAGAATTTCCAGTGAAGTTACTACCAGTCCCTTCTCTAGACATATTGGAGTCAGGATTTCACCTTCATTCCCCTGTTCAGTCAAAATTGCAAGCATTTGTGCTCAAGTTTCTGATCATTTTGCTCATGCAATAATAGCCATTCATATCAGCAATTTGTCACAATAACATGCAGACTAAATCTGCATGTCTTAACCTGGACTTTACCTACCTACGTAGGATCAAAATCATGACAAACAGTGATAGATACTTGGAAAATACGCATTTCAGTCTGCCCCTATGAACAGTCGTTTGAGAAATAAGAAGCTACTATTTAAAATGGAAAAAAACCAGTATTTCTAGAACACTTTGGTCTTGAAAGCTGGTTTACTCCCATATTAGTTTGTACAGAAGATATGACACTGTTAATCAAGAGTTATTCCCTTTCAGCTTCCAAGTTAGAGGCCAAAGAACACCTCCTGAAATTCAATCCACTCAGTTAACATTCTTTTTGCACAATCATCAGCAAGCAAGGTAACAATAGGAGTTTTCTTGGGTTTGTACCTTTACGTACGAGACAGTAGCTGTGTATTTCCAGAAGAATCTCAATACCGACATGCCAAGCTACAAAACCAATCATTGTATATGTGTCCCATGGGTCTGGCAGGTCAAGTGCTGGTAGATCCATTCCCAAGAACATAGTCACCACTAGTCAGTAAAAACAAGATAAAAAGACACTAAGAGTGCTGTGTCAGGGTGATTAAAAAATGCTCTCAACACCTTTGGTAATAGATTTCCCATGAACTGTCTACAACTGCTTGGGGAATGAGGTTAAACAAATCCATGCAGCTGAAAAGTTGGGGTGGTTTTTTTTGGCAGTGTGAGGGGGAAAGCAGGGACAAAAGGAGAAGGCCAAGATAGTTTTCATCCTGTTCAGTGCCCTATCACATCCCACTAGCATTTGTGACTCTGCCAACAAGACCACAGTCACCACAACATTTGTGCTTAAGCTAGCTGTGGAAACCTGTCACTATTAATAGAATTAAGCCCAGCTTCTGCTTCTGTGAGTGAGTTTTCCCTCTCCCTTTAAATAACATCGAACTATGTTACTCAAGAACACTATCCTCAAGTCTTCCAACACAAAAATAAATTACTCATGATAAGAACAGGTCCTCATTACACAAATCTTTCAGATTTGTCTGTAATCTCTGTGGTTTTACATTGTCACTTTTTGGCCCTAAAGCTGTACCTGATGGCCACTTAAAACTCACATAGAAGATGTCCAGCAAGAAAAAGAATCTTCAGATATGCCTGGACTGGATGTCCATAGATGTTTTAGATGAGCAATAGCCCAGACAATGAACAAAGTTCCTTTAAATCACTTAAAAGGGAGTTACAGCTATTACTCCTACTCACCGGCTAGTATTCTAGCTGTTGTACCAGTACTCCAGTGAAACCAGTTAAACAATTGCCTCCTACAAAAAAATGAAAAGCATTTTATTGATTACAGGGCAGGGTGCAGGAAATCAAAGAACATTGTTACCTACTTTAAAAGATATCTTCTCAATGTAAAAAGATTTTTTTTAAAGAAACAAGCATATTTAATTCCTGTGGCTGTAACTTAATGAGTTAGTTGCGAGTACCTTGGTGCATGACGAGATGGTCTGAAACCTGCCATAAGTGGTTGAAAGATTGTCAGAGCCATCATGGTACAGCCGAGATAGGGATGAAAACCTGCTTGCTAAACACAGGACATTTTTCTTTAATATCATATCTATATGAAGATATAGAAAAAATACCAAATTTGATAATTTTATTTATGTTTGTATTAGTAAGTTACAACGGTGGAGCAGCACTGTGTTTAGACTGGAGGGGCAACAGGACACAGTAAGCTGCCCTGCAGCTGGATGGAGATTGTCCTCCTTGGCCGCATGAGACACTGCTAAGTCTGCCCAGGGTTTGTCCCACCTTTTTGCTGTATTGAGAAATTCTACCAGCTGAGAGAGCAATATGACTGTAGAAGCTATGCTCCAAGCTCTTCATCCTCAATCCTTTGTCTTCAGGAGAGTCTTATGTTATAACTCCTCCCAGCACTTGTCTCCCCTCTCACCTTATCTGTTTTAATCTTAAGCCTAAAATATTCTATTCAATTTCCCTAGCTCCTAGTTCGTACCTGTGACCACATTCTCCCACCTTTAATTCAGATACTCTCTAGACTTTCCAATTTCTGATATTACCTTGTACCAAATATTATACAGGTGACAGCAACACATATACAACCTCTATCTACCTAATGTTCAAGACTAAGCTTAATCACTGCATACAGTTACTCAAGTCCAAGTTCATAACAACACTTATTCCCAGCAGGTTTACCACATTAAGTCAGCCATCCCATCCTCACTCACTTCTCAAATTCAAGTTCTCTAAGGAAATGGGAAGACGACAAATTAAGTACATAAAGAAACTGTGAGCAAGGACTTTATTTTGGAGGAAGAGGAAGGAAGGGAAGTACTGAATTTTTTCAGCTGTAGTTAAAGGAGGCAACATTGCTCTTCTGTGCTGCTAGGATTTGAAATCAGCCTACTTAAGGACAGCTTTCACAGCACTTTCCTTGACAATAATTGTAACATCTTAGTCATCACTAGACCTTCTCGTTGATTTGGTCCAACCTTTTATATTTGAGTTAAACAAAACAAAAGCACACACTTACTTGGCTCCAGCCTCCTCGGTATATAAAAGGCAACACAAAAGAAATGCTTGTAAGCATGACTGTGGTCAACATGAGCATACGATGCACCTAGAAAAGTTAATTGCTTTTAGAAACTCTACAGCTTTCTTAATACACCATTAAAATACATTCAACAGGTCTATAGTTAAAGATGTTCTTAGCTTCCTTTTAGACACTGCTTTTACTAGTAAAGAGGGTGAACTTCTGATTTGTAATTGTTCCATTTTATAAGATTAAAGAAAGATAAAAATCACACCACATTTAGTCTCCTATTTCTTGGATCTAGTAGGTTTATAATTCTGCTTACAACAAAGATAGAAAATACAGGTGGAGATATGGGGAGATTTTGCCCACCTGAAACCACATCTCCTTTCCAAACAGGAATGAATGAGACCAGACAGGTTTGAAGAATCGTGCAACAATAACACCAATACTAACTGTGGTAATCCAAGCAACAAACATTAGCGCTCCTGAAAATTGAAAAAAATACAAGGTAAACATGAGTAATTTAGCTGCATACGAATACAGCTTCAAAGACTGTGTAATAGTTTAGTTCGTACACATATGGTCAGAATTTACCAGTGGTAAGTTTTTAATCACCTGGTTAAGGATACAACTTTATAGCATTTATCTTGTTAAAGGGCAAAAACATGCATATAAGAGATAATCATACTGCGCCCAAACAGCATAACAGAGCACCTCTGGCTACTGCGTACTTCATATGCGCCAATACAGTCAGTACATACTGGTGAGAGATGCTGTTCTGTCACCAATTTAGATGTCAGAGAATGAAAGGTGACATTTCCTGCAATTTGTCTGACAAAGAATGAGTGATAGTTCTCTCACAGGCCTGCTTTAGTGTCCAGTACTGTACGAGAAAAAATTCTCATTAACTTCAATGGTTCTGGGCTGTCAGTTAAGGAGTTTCTCATTTCAAGTAGAATTAAACCAATAATGTAACTAGAACAAATTAAACCAGAGACAAAGAGGTAAACAGAAACAAGTCCCAGTTATAAATTTAAGAGAAAAAGGAAAATGCAGGTCCATTTTCCTGGGCAACAAGAATCTTATAATGTTGTTCTTGAAATGAAAAGTTATTAATAACTTTACTCTGTCTTCACAGTCTCAGATCTTGCTAGCCAACAGTATATATAACATGACTGCCAGAGAGACAAGAGGAAATACTTACTCTGCAATAATGAGGAAAACTTAATTCTCCAGTCTCAGCAAGTCTAGCACTGGAAGACAAAACTAGAAGTTGCAGCTTACCATGAGCCTTGATAAGTTGCGGGGACCTGGAACCTCCAATATCCTGAGGAAGGCCTGTGACGTTGTATATTCCATTGGTGATCAGAGGCTGATGACGATGTTTGTATATTAGTCCACCTAAGCAGTGACAAAGTGGTTTATTTATGGCTGATGAAAGCCACTGCACTTGTAAGTGTGCCCAATTCTTATTTATGAATGCAAGCCCTGTTGTGAGTACTGAGCATAATCATACAAACTAAATTTCTGACACACAATATGATAAGAACCTAAGATGTCATCTAAGCCGTCTCACATACTTAATGTACAAGAACCAGCTCGCCCCTCTACAGAAAATAGCTTTCTCCACTACATGCACAAGGCGTGAAGAATAATTCCCTTTGATACTAGTCTCCATTTTAAAAAGATGTGGCCAGCTCTCAAGAAGCTACTAGTTCCTAGCATCAAGTGGGCATACAACACACATATATGAGTAAGTTTACTGTAACTTCCAAAAGCAAGCCCATGATCCAGAGAGGCAGTAAAGATGACTGGACTAAGTCCTCAAACTTGGAAACTGTAGTTCAGATAGTAATTCTCGGCTAAGCCACGTCTTACATAAGATTTACTAACTCATTTAGAGCTGTTCAAAGAAAAGCAACCATATGTAAGTCAAGTTTACCTTCACTAGCTTCCCCATCTGCCAGAAAGATGTAGTAACTGGCATTCAGATTAAACCTCCCTTTGTAAGCAGGAAGACTAATACTCCTTCCGAAGGAACATTGAAGAATACCATCCACAAGCCTCCATGACACATCTTCAAGCACATTCTGTGAAACAGGAGACATTTAATACCCAGTCTTTTCAGACTGGCACAGTAATTGGCTTAAAAGTAACCCTGCAGAAGACAAGAGTGTCACTGGTGCACAAAGAATGAACAGCAGTGATTGGGGAAGAGGGATAAAAATCTCTTGCATACCAACTTAGAAGGCATGTCAGTAAGTCAACACAGCAACATAAGGGTTGGACCTATTACCACCAATTTTTCCAGCTCATAACAACAATCTTCCCCTCTCTTCCAACATTTAACCCAAGATATATTGATTGCGGCTGCAGCCCTAGCAAAGGGACAGAGTAATAATGGGCACAAAGTTCCTCAATACAATAAGCTCCCACCACGTGACTTAATTTTTAAAAGTAAGTTTAGACTCCCAAAGGTAACATTTACTAGGAAGTAAGAGCCCAATCAATCTCACCTCAAAGAATTATGTATCCACCTATGTATTTACAGCTGCTATGCAAAATAAAAGCACAAAGCAGCAGCATTCATTACTTCAAACCTACATTTGTGGAAGCGTCTTAGTTGTTTCCAAATGTACCTCTGAATCCAAAACAGGAGGACTTCGCCCCTTCAGATAGGCAGTGCTTACATGAACATGGTGGTCCTCCTTAACACACAGATACGCGTCATCACCACCCTGCAGAGTTTAAAAGAAAAAGGTATTTATAGCCCATTAAAAACGACTACTGGCAGTCACCAAAACCTCTTTGATTTAATATATGCAACAAGACACAAGACAGATTTCTCTAGATGTCAAGCTATTATTTCCCAGCTTTCAAACACTTCAGTATTACAGAGGAATCACATTAAGTCAAACAGATGACACACAGTAAGGCACATCATGAGTTACATTCCCTCCCCTCTCAGGGTAACAAGCCTATTATCAGAAGTTTCTTTAGTTACTTAGAATTTACTAAATTAATGAGACAAGACAGACACAGATGTTGATGTTATTTAAAAACCCTTTTTAGTTAAAAATTGGTTTTCCTCATAGCTGTAAAGACAAAGTATTGTTAAGAACCAAGTGTTCTTGTACTTGGGACATGAATATAAACAGCATCTCCTTTGTGCAACAGTTAGTTTATGGATTATGCAGTTGTCAACAGCATCGTCCCTTCACTTTAACACCAGTTAGAAAAAAGGAGCTCTAAACACTTTTTAAGATTAAACTGAGTCAATCCTGTACAACGACGAAATGCAAATGGTTTTCAGAAGGCATAGCAATTCAGCTTCTGACAGGTGAGGGTTTTTGGCTAGGTAACAAAGAAAGATTGATCTAACCAGGAATTTCAGTCAGCTGCTGTGCAATCAGGTCGGATTCTGCTAAGACTGATATCCACAGGCAAATTCTATTGCGAATAGTCAGTCCCAAGCTAAAACTGAACATCCATCTATAAAAGGCAACCTGTGCTTCAGCGCTATGGGAGAGAAGTTACTTTGTGCGACGTCTAGTAGCATTTCAGTTTTCCACATGCATGTTTTGCTAGAGTACCATTCAAAATTTCCTAAGATCACAAAAGCAACTAAAGAAGTAGAATAGGACACTCACCATCCACTGGTCATGGGACAATGCAAATGCTAAATAGCCTTCACTTGGACCACTCATTTCAATAAATACTGAACTCTTCTCTTCTTGGAAGGATAGAAAAAAACAGGAAGCATTTTCAGGATCACAGTTTGAAGGGTTCCTAATGCAGAACTTCATACTTCCACAACCTGATGCATTAAACTAGACAATTAAGCAAACAAATAAGTCATAAACAATAAGTTTCCCTTTTCTTTCTCTCTTTCTACCCCTTTCTAGAAGAAAGTATGCAAGGAACATCAAAGAAATGCTATCTATGTCTACACACTGATCTCTTAACCCATCCCTACAATTACCCCAGGATTAGTAGGTAAAATCATGGCAAGTTCCAAGCTGTACTTTTACTCAAGTTGAATTTTTCACTTTAAAAGACAGGATAATAGAATTACTTTGAAAAGAAAGTAAAAACTTTAGAGAAACTTCCCTTGGTTTAATTTTTAGAGAGGTAACATCAGCTGTGGAATGAGGGAGAAAAGAAGGGAAGACCAGCTTTTCATTTCCTTTTTAAAGTACAAACTCCACTGATACACAATGAGAAAATACATGGATTCCAGATCAAATCCAGATCAAATAGTGATGCTTGCTCAGTCCATTCAAGAATCAGTAATGGAAGTCAGTAACAGATGAACTCATTGAAGGAAGTTTCTGAGCCTGCAGTTACTAAATAGGAAGCTATTAGTCAAGAGCAGAGCAAGTCTTTTCCCATTTCTCTTCTCAGGTATGCATAATATTTTCTGACCATTAAGTTCTACATGTTCTATCAACCTTCTGACCTGTGTATGGTGTAACAACATTTAATCCAGACCAGTTCAGGCAACTCAACTAACACAAGAGGGTAGCTGTCTATGTTCTTAGTCTCTGATATTTAAGTTACTCATCCGTCATCTCTCCCTTTCTGTCAATAGGCTGTATCAATATGATTTCATTAAATTCCATCGATCACAAGCATTAAAGACAGCATTAGTTAGGTTTATAATTACTTACTGGCTTTGATAAGTAGGAAACCGAGTGTGAAGTTGATATAGCCTCTGATGTTGCATGCAAGGGTGTTGTTGGGGACAGTGCATTAGGCTGAGAAACAATGGGACCAGGAATCTTCACCCAGAAAGTCTTGTATTTCTTCACAACTGTGGCTCTTAAAAAATACAACATGCACACAGTCATTACTGTATACATCAAAAGCTGATTCTTACTTTAAAAAAAAGGAAAAAGGAAAAGCTTCTACAGTTTGTACAACTTATTTGTAAAACTCCCATCTTTATGCAGACCTCTACCATTTTAGGGATTAAAGTAGGAAAATATCTGAAATATCAGTGGAAAAATAATTTTAAAACATACTGCTGCATGCTCTACTGAATATAAGAAACACTCACGCCTGTGGCACAGATTACAACCTCAGAGAAGAGTTGCATAGCTTTTATCCATTAGTTTCCAAAAAGCTAGTAGTATAACAGGAGGGTATACATAACATTTTGTAAGGTACAAGCACAGAAAAAGATTCTTAACACTGCATATTACAGGTATGAGATGTGAGCAGTTAACTAGAAATACTAATGAAACCCATCTCTGAATACCCTTCTACTTTCTCTGCAAAAATCAAAATAATCATCTCCAAGCTTTCCCTAAAAAACAAGTGTCTGCATTAGCGTAGACTCTGCAGTGAGCAAGAGGTGTCAACTTTTCAGGCCATTAGTCCAAGGATACTTTCCAGTTGCTGGCCAATATTGGACACAGCCAATGACACAGGTTTACCTTATCTGCATTTTAATAAACTAGAACTAATATTAGATTTACTTACAGAAACTGTACACGTTTTGGTGCATCTCCAGGAGCAATCCAATAAACTTTTATGTATTTCTTTTTTGCTTTACTTGTGTGACTGACAGCTGAATTCTGAAAACACACATATATCAAGAGTTACACAGTGGATACACACTAAGGAGATTTCAGCTAACAGTCGTCACAGGCTGCAGCTAAATCCTAAACAGACACCAAACTGTTACACTGCACAGACCCAGCACAGCTGGCTCTTCCCCAGTCAGCCACGATCAACTCAGATGAAGTCTACCACTGAAACTCATACATACTAACAAACCTTAAGGCTAAAAGGAACAACCAGAGGTCTTTCAATCCAGAAGACTCCAGTGATGACACAGAGGTCCCTGAAGTGTTTATGCAGAAATGGTGTGATAACACTCCAGTTTTTTTGATAGTAAGGTAATGCTCCATTTTTTGATAGCAAGAGCATGAAGGGACAGGGCAAGACTGTATAGAGAGAGAACAGAACTAGTATTCCAGAGGACAAAAACCCCAAAAATAGTCTTGGGGTCAGACAGTTATTTGCACAAGGTAAACAGATTAGACACAGCACTGAACTAAGTCCTCTGAGCACAGAGGGCACAACCCAGACATCTCCATGACTTTACTGCACTGATGAATGCATTAATCAGATGCCACTGGGAGGCAGATGGTAGCAGAGGAGAGAAAAAAAAAAAAGATACATCTAGGCAGATCGAGAACTTTGCCCGCACCAGCTCAGATGATAATGTACATGATGTTCATGAAGTTCAGGTGGGTTGCTGAAATACTAGTCAGAGCTCACATCTCTTGCACATGAGGCAGAATCAACTTATCTAAAATGGATATTGAAGACTGATCTAACCTGTTACTAAGAAGGTTCCATTAACAGTAACTGACAGAGTAACACTAAAGATAATGGCCTATTCTAGTGCTTGTTTACCAAAATAACTGCCCTAAACGTTCCTTGCTGTAAGACATGTTCTCTGTCCTTAACAAGTATGGAAAATGATTGATAACTCCTCTTGAAAACAAATAGAGCATGCACTCCTCTTCTTAATATTAAGTACAATAACCAGGAATACACCACATTCCTTGTGCACAAGTAAAAATTACATTATGAATGCTGCATCTTCCTGCAGCAGTCTGACAGAGTTGCAGTGAGCCATGCCTCTATACTGCAAGTTGGACCAATTTCCTGGGAGACTTATTGAGCTCAAAGATTACATAGTTTAGCTCCATCCTGTTACAGACATAGTCTAGTACAAACACCTCAGTGCTTGATGTCCCATTTTAAGACACTAGACTATACCTTGATACGGCCACACGTCAGAAGCTGAGAAAGTTTCCGGTCAACTAACATGAAAGAACCAACTGCAGGGCTATCCAGGTGTTCTGCATCCCGGGCTTGTATGAAAAACCCTTCAAAATCTGGTCCAGACAGATGAACTGAAGCAAGAAGAAAAATAAAAGGATGTTGAAATATTCTCCAGAGGAAGAATGAAATATTTCAGCAATGACCACCAGAAGCTCATTTTACAAGTACTGAATGACTGCTAAATGGATCACCTGAACAAGATTCAGCTGCTTAGATAGATCTAGTATAGCTAACCCAGTAAAGACATGCTACAACACAAAGAAACAGTAAATTAAACTCTTCAGCTATAATTGACACAATACCTTCTATGTTGTCCCCTGGTTTAAATTCAGTCCCATTCACTGTAATGGTGTGCACAGGTGACAGTTGTGGAGAGCTACCATGACAGGGTATCATGCTAATGCAGGCTTCTCTTAATTTTCCACTTGGATAGCTATCCACAGATGCATAGAAGCAAATAAACATCCAAACAGCAAAAGCAAGGCCAGGCAGCTCCATCTATATAAAGGAAGAGTTACAGGCAGTTAAATACAATAAGCATTTACATCACAGGTCACCACTCATCTTTCGAAGAAGCAGCTGAATACTAAAATTTAAAAACATGTTTAAAACAAAAGCATGTATGAGAAGACACCATTCCCAACTGCAAAAGCTAAAAGTAATGTGTGCTTCTGATAACTGCCAGACTTTGCAAGAATGTTCACAGATATCATGTTCCAGGCCATCAAGAGTACAGACAGCAGTGGATGGATCTGGGTGGATTATTCCTCTCAGTGCATTTTGACATCACTTTTTAAATTTCTTTTGCTTACGCCTCTCCTGTTCCCTCTTTCCCTCTCTCTCCCCCCCCCCCCACCCCCCCCATCTCCAAGTCCCTTAAACATCTGCACAGGACAGATGGATCTTAAAACACATTTCATTGATGTATAAAGGTCACAGTACTGAGGAACTACACAGCTAGTATCAAGCCCACTCTTTTGTTAATCATAGCTCCAAACTGTGCATCATTACAGACTGCCTTTTCTTTCCACAACTCGTGTCTACTTCTTCATATATGACAAATAATACCCAGATAACAAATTCTTCTTTCTGCAAGAAACTAAAGTTGCCAAATGTCAAAAATAGATTTTATATATTCCCCAAAAGAGTGGGAATTTGGTATAAAGATTTAGACTAAGACGTATGCTTGTTGCAGACAAGCACAAGACTTTTCCTTTGAACTCTTCTTTATGGATACTGGATCTCCAGACAATTAGTCAAACAACATCATTGCTTGTCACACTCTCATTAAGGGAACACTGTGCATGAAAAACATGTGGGGTAGTAGGACCAAAGAGCCTAAAACAGTTGTATGAACCCCTAATCCCAGTATCCATCACATAATGTTTTGCTCTGCCACACTACTGTTTTCAAAAAAGCTGTGGTAACTGTTTTGTTACTCAGCAGCATGCAGGGTTTAGAGTTGTATTGTTGTTTACAGAATGCCTTAACCACCAAGAAAAAGCATTTGCATGTCTAAAAGGCTGGGAGAACAGAGATAAACTTCCTTTCAGTCTTTAGGCACAAGAAGTGGCTTATCAGGTCTAGTGGAACATGTACCAGGCAAGTAGGTCTGCCTTCTGGAAGAGCCATGCCCCTTTTTGCACCAAGTGATAAAAAGTATCAGGTTATAAAGTTCCCAGACAGTACACATGTATATGAAGATAAGAAAGGCACAGGGCCATTTCAGACTGAACTCTGATACCTAAAAAGCAGTCAAATGAAGACAAGGCATGTCATTAGTCTTACACACTCTTTAAGAGTCATCAATATTAACTCTTCCAAAGTTCTCATACATTCAATGCTAAAAATCCACAATATCCAGGGCATTGCTACATTTGTACTTCAACATAGGGGCTTCTTGGCAACTTTACACTAGTAAATAGAAGAAAATTAGCGGGGAGATGGGGTTGAACAGTTACATTTCAGGAACCAGGAAAAAAAAAAATCAACTAACACTCAACTCCTCCGAAATATTCAAGATAACATTATGATAATATCTTTAACTTCTAGATCAAGTAAGCCTTTCCTTCTAGTTCCAGGAATTCTCCAAACTGTCACAAATCTCCATCAAGATGATTTTATTCTTAAGTTAAGGAAGCCTACAGGAAGCTAAAAAACTAAGGTTCAGTACAATAGTGGCATTAAAGCAGCTTTTATACGTACCAGTGAAATCTTCAAAACAAGTTGCTGCCAGAAGAGATAAGGCTGCATACCACAGCGACAAGAAAAATAGTAGGTTAGTATTCTAGTTTAAGTAGCAGAGGATGTGTTAGGGATTTAAAATGAAACAAGAAACAGCCTTTGGCAGATTCAACTGACTCAAAAGCTGGCAGAGGAGAAAGAGGAAGAAGCAGAGATGAAAAGAATGAAAAAGGCCAAAATCTGAAAGAAGTACTGTACCAAAGAGCAATTTTTTTAAAACCTTATTTTTTTTAAACAGGATTGGCTGCAGAAAAGCAATCTCCCCTATGCACGTTCAACGATGAGGACTAGATCCTATAAAGAGCAGTAAGTTCCATATTAAAATTTAGCCTTCCTCAAACAACACTTACTCAGTTGCCTTGAGAAGTCCCTTTCCTCCTTTATCTGGAATTACATTATGGCACTCTACATTCTCCACTTCCACAGCAAAAGAGGCTGAAGGAAGATGGGAAGCACTGTTATAACACCAATCATTCTGTGGTTAAAGATTAATTTTGTATTTTTAGGAAAATGCCTCCTAAAGTGTTATTGTAGGCAAAACAGTACAATAGGTCAACATTTGTCTTGGTTTCAGCTGGGATAGAGTTGTCTTCCTAGTAGCTGGTACGGTGCTATGTTTTGAGTTTAGTATGAGAAGAATGTTGATAACACTGATGTTTTCAGTTGTTGCTAAGTAGTGTTTAGTCTAAAGTCAAGGATTTTTCAGCTTCTCATGCCTAGCCAGTGAGAAAGCTGGAGGGGCACAAGAAGTTGGCACAGGACACAGCCAGGGCACCTGACCCAAAGTGGCCAACGGTGTATTCCATACCATGGCATGTCCCATCTAGTATAGGAACTGGGAAGTGGGGGCAGGGAATCGCCTCTCAGGGGACTGGCTGGGTGTCGGTCGGCAGGTGGTGAGCAATTGCCCTGCACATCATTTGTACATTCCAATCCTTTTATTACTACTGTTGTCATTTTATTAGTGTTATCATTATCATTATTAGTTTCTTCTTTTCTGTTCTATTAAACCCTTCTCATCTCAACCCACGAGTTTTACTTCTTTTTCCTGATTTTCTCCCCCATCCCACTGGATGGCGGGGGGAGTGAGCGGCTGCGTGGTGCTTAGTTGCTGGCTGGGGTTAAACCACGACAATGTTCTAGAGAAGTCAAGCTTTAAGAAATTATTCCTAATCTTCAGATTAAAGAACTCTGGACTTTAACTCAAATACCACAGTAAACCCCTTTTTATAACACAGTAGAACTTCATATTTAAAACTGTAGTTTGGAATAGCCAAAAATAGAAGTTTACAATCACTCATCTGCTGTCCATAATTCAGCTAGGATCTCACTGCACCTTCCTATCCCCTTCTGCAACACACACACACCCCCTCGGCCTTCAGCCAAGACCTGTTCAAAACAACCCGCATACCAATCATAACAAGCAAGAAAGACAAGGACACAAAATCTGAATATACAGGAAGGAAGAGGGGAAATCCAAGAGACACCCAGAACTTCCTCATATAAGCAGGTTAAGATGTCTCCTTTAGCTCTAAAAAAAGTACCTGTTACAAGAACATGAAACAGTATGTCATGCCCTTGTGAATACGACAGTCTGGCCAAGAGAAGGAAAAAGTGAGTTAGTCTGGAAAGCTGAGCACCTATGATTGAGAGTTCAAAAATGAACAATATTAAAAAAACACCTAAGGAAGATACGTAGTTAAACTAATGAACCAGCAATAAGCAGTTCTGAGAAGGGACAAGAAAAAGTATGTTTGTACTAAGGCTGAAGATGGATAAGCAATTATATCCATCCTCAGATCCTCAGTCAAGTATTTGCACAAGAGATCATCTGCTTTGCTAAACAAACAAACAAACAAACCCCAGACAGCCATGGGCAAGAAAAGTCACTCCTATATAAAACTCACCTCTTCTTCTGTAAGATTACATGGTTTCCTCTTTTCTCTGATCAGAGTTCTAGAGCCACAATAGCATTATTTCCCTCCAAGTGATGTTGTCAGGAATGACTGCATTTTTAGACATTTAGCATGTCATATATACCATAGTGCAGAACAGTTACTTAGAATTAGAGGAGCAACTAGCTTTAAAATTTTAACTGATCAAACACAGAGGTAAAGGAATCCTGCTCTGTAATAACTGAACAAACAGTAAACTGTAGAATACGTGACTTTTTTCTGATATTCCCCTTTGCAGGAAAAACAGAGGAAGACAACTAAACCTCACAACTATATACAAGCCCCCAAAAAAGGCATTATGATTAATGGCATGGAAAGGATTTGTTACAGAGAGGTTAGGTTCAGGAACGCTGAAGTGTGATATGTGAATCGTGCTTAACCTCACCACAGAAGAATAAATGCTTTTTAAAGAATAAAGTAGAAATAAAAACAGTTCTCCATCTGTACCAAGAAGGACCTGAGAGACTGACCAAAGCTATCACATCCTACAGAACTGTTACTCTATCATTCTTCTCCCAGAAACATGGCTAAATTAAAGAAACACAGTTAATTTGCATTCTAATAAAGATTAATCAGGAGATCTCTGCCAGATCATCTTTTCTAAATAAGAATATAACAAACTGCATCAAAACCTTAAATCACCAAGTATTACCACTAAAGCTATATTCAAAATGAGAATGTATGTTAAGTTTTGAGGTAAGCTGTGGAATAGCCTGCTATTGCCTATAGCATTTGAAAATACTCTCAGTTTCTGCTATCACTTATTATAAACTGTAGATTTGTCCTTCTTGATATATTTTGCTTGCAAGTTGTATTAAGAAGCTTTGGCCATAGTGGCTTATTTATAACCCTTTGAAATACAACCCATTGGTGACAGCCTACGAACTAGCAGACAGTCAAGTTCCCTGTACTAAAGAACAGGAATAATTGACTTCAGGACTGAAGCATAATGATATTAAAAAACATAAAAGCTAATTCCTGCAGCGTTTTTCTACTGGCAATTCTTCAGTATTTTTGTTAACTTACTATTGTTTGAAAGGCCTGGAAAAACAACAGGGAGTTTAAGCGTTTCTGCACTATCCAGTGATTTGTTTTCCAGGATAAATGCATTACACTGAAACGCCTGTGTTAACCAAGGGCCTGAGAGTACCTATAATCTCCTTCCTCTATCCTGCCTGTATGCCAGCTGCACACCATGTGGTAGCATGCATAAGTAAATGCCCCGGTCAAAGTTACAAGGATGTGCTACAGAGCATATTAGCTCCATAGTTAGAACACAATCACGTAGTATTGATTGTTGATTTTACTTAGTCTTGTACTATACACAGACTTTTCAATATGTTATATACAACCAAAGATAGCATAAGATCAGGAATCCTTTCTCTACAGATATAGATACCAGTGCATACCACACCATTACAGCATAGACAGTTATTCAAACCACTACATTTCATACCTTTACTTAGAATGGAAAAAACGTTTCAATACTCATTAGTTTGGAGCATGACTGTAAATTTGTTCTTCCCTCCCTACTTAAATCTTCACTATAATACATAACTCACACCCCCTGGCAGAAAAGAAAGCTTCAGAACAAGTTTGTTCAAAGAAACGTCATCATCACCTGAAATTCTAACAGTGTTTCAAATATCATGGCACTCTTATGGCGGAGGGAGAGAGGGAGAGAATTGTGTACTTGAAGCCATTTATAATACAGCCTTCCAATTAACTGAAAGCCAAAAAATACAGAGTGACAGTCATCACCCTTGCCTAATCTGGGCAAAATCCCTTAGAAGGAAGTTAAGCTTTTCCAAGGAAGCTGAGTAATCAGAACATCCATTAATATTTATTTCATATAGAACTTGATTATAACGGTAAAATTCTATTTCATCCAGAGATTACTCAATACTAACAGCTGACTTTTAATGTAATCTGAAATTTCAGTCAAGCATTTCTTGAGCCACACTACCAATTTATTTTATATGTTTGCTAGGCAGGTCAGAACTCAAGACAGAAATAGAGCTTTTTGTTAGAGCACCCTTTTTTAGGACTTATTACATACAACCCACCAGAAGTTTGGAGGAAAGTTATGTAGAAAAATAAGAACAGGGGTCCCAAAGGTACTCCATATATGTGGCCAGTTATTCTAACAGTAGTGGGATGCAGAACAGTTATTTTAAATAAGAGGCAGCCAAAACCAGCTCACTGAGAGCCTACAACAGATATTTCTGAACAAGTGAACTACAGACAAGCATTTCAGTTAGTATGAATGGAGACAAAGCAGCTAGCATTCTTCATACTTATGATGGACCATGACAAAACAAGAACGCCTTTGTGATAATTCAAACATTAATGATTAAAGGCCAAAGTGATGATCTATGGCGTGGCTTAACATGGCAAGGCAGACTGCAAAGAGAAATATGGGTTTGCTTATAGTAATAGCTACCACGTTTTGTAAAGTTTCAATGCAATACAACTGCATTTGTCTGAACATTTAGACTTTATCATCCCATTCATTCAGGAGTGATCTCCTTCTCATCCTAAGGGTGGAGAAGAAAAGAAGAATAAGAAATGGTTGGGGGGAAAAAAAAAAAGTGTGTTACAATTTGGGAATGTAACAATTTTAGGAATAGAATTTTTAAAAGCCTGAACCAACCATACCAAAATTTAGTGGGAATCTTTTTGCGATTTCTAGTATACATGGGAATCTATTCTCCTGATTGCATCTCATGATTTTACAGTAACTGGATTTGGATAAATGGAGAGAAGTTACTCCCTCCTGTGTTGAAAAAACTCCTACAGTCCCAGCAGGCGTCAACAGCTACAAAAGCCCTAGTAGACTAATTCCTTGAGGACACAATGTTCACACACAAACTCAGGATGTCTTCACAGAGGTTATCTTCTTTCAGCTGTTTCACAGAACTTTGTTAGCTGCAGAGTACAAAATCTAAAACTAGTTTCAGAGAGGAAGAGGAGATGAGAGGAGGGGCAAGGCAAACATACTGCCAATTCAAAGGTACAAAAACTATCATAGCCAGAACTTTTCTCCTGAGCACCATCAGATAAGGCAGCAAGCAGAAAAGGAAAAAGCCATCTAAAGGTGAATAAGATGTATTAACAAAAGGTGTTTCTGCCTTGTCTCTTTAGAAATATACTCTTACAAAGCAGAAGCAGACAGCCTTACTGTCCAGGAGTCACCTTCCCTCTGAGTTTAATAAAAGAGCTTGAGTTATAACTTCTCCTGCTCATTTAAATGTGGTCATATCACAATAGCTGGATTGACCAAGGGCAGAAAACAAGCAGTGTTCACATTCAGAACAACTCATTACTTTTAAAATACAAACACACCCGCCCGCATGCCCCCCCCCCCCCCCCCCCCCCAAGATGACAAAACATACACACCTCAACCTCTTGGTTTTTCTACTCAGGAAACATTCAAAGAGAACTTCAAGCCTAGTGTGTTTCAAAAAGAATTTTTATAATATTTTAAGTGTAGATACTTACCTTACAGCCAGGCCTTCTGTTACAGCGACCAAGTCTGAGTAAGATTGCCATTGGCTTTCTACTTATAGTAAGACAACTTATATTACTTGTAACCTCTCCTATTTGACTTGCATCTAACTGTATTAACCTTTATCATATCCAGGATCAGAGGAAGTTTGTCTGAAAGAAGAAACAGTACACACATAAAAAAGGAAACATTTGTAAGAGCGTTCTTTACTTCAGGCACATATTTTATACTGCTTCCCAAGCTAAGGCCCTAAGACTCCTACACTTCAGCTGAAATGCATTAAGTTGTAATGAAGCACTGACCCTGCAGCTTCCTTTGCTTTGTCAGACATGTACTCCACAGACCTCAGAGAGTTTTGTATTAAGTAATTATTTTAGTTATCTTCTGGTGCAGTTAAAGAAAAAAAAAAAACAAACCCAACAACAACAAACCAACCCCAACTTTTAACACCTTCTCCTCAAAGGGCAGGTTAGGACAAATTTGCAGCATGATTTTAAAGTTTGTTATGCATTTACTCCCTATCGAAGAGACACTTTCTTTTAGAAGAGGGATAAGCACTCTTACAATGGAATAAGCTAAGTTTGTCTTTTTTTTCCATATATCCCACCAAGAGTGAACAAGAGCCAAGGATTTTGCCCCTTTCAATTGTTTATTTTGATTATTTAACTTTCTGTTGGGCAAGCTGCTCTGCATATTATCTTTAAGGCGCCAACCTTGCCAACTCTTATCTATATGAAGAATCCAAAGTTGCAGGCTGACCTAAAACCGATATAGTTTGTTACCCAACAAGCAAATTCAAGCACAGGATCAGCACGTTTACTATAACAGTTACCATACAACCATCTCCTATGCACATTAATGAAGAAACAAAAGAAGAAAGTAATATTCATGTAACATTAAGAAGCAAAGATGCAAGAGGAACACGGTTGGTGTGGCTTCCAGATAAAATAAGCCATAGCTTACCTTTACTCATTAAGGCAAGCAGGCTTAAGAGTTTTCTCTAAAGCAATTCAGAAGTGCTTGCATGAAAGGCAGCAGCTACGAGGTGCTTTAAAACCTTCACCAGGTTTTAATTTGCTTCATAGCTGCTGCAGATTTTCTATGAAGCATATATAGTTTTCAAAAAGCTTGCAGTATCTGCACTGTGAGCACTCACTGGCGTCAGCTTAACCAAAGCGCCCTGGAGCTACAACAGCGTCTCAGCGAAGACGGGCCCCTCGCTCCTGGCAGCCCCACGCTCTTCTCAACTCCCCAGCACCGCTCCCGCAGAAAAGGGCAGCGGGAAAGCAGCAGGCGAGCCAGCCAGCCCACCCCCTCCCCTTCCTCTGCTCGGGCCGCTCTC